ACAAAACTATTGCAAAATTAATGTACCTTTAGCCTATCACTCATAAAGGTTAAAGGAACATTCTCTCTAAATGACCCAAAGAACTCCTCAAAGTAATGAAAAAATCAACTCCAGGTTTCTTTATTTTCACACTCAGTCAAAGCAAATGCAATAGGAAAAATGTTATTGTTAGCATCTAAAGTAACTGCTGTGAGAAGTACACCACCAAAGAGACCTTTCAAAAAACATCCATTAAAACCAATAAAAGGTATATAGCCTTTAACAAATCCACTTCTTTGAGTTTTGAAACTAACAAATATTCTTAGAAATCTAGACTCAACAAAGAGAGTAGGCCTATCATAGTGTATTTTGTAGATACTGTGTGGATTGTATTTCCTGAGGAGTTCTGCATACTTTGGCAATTTGGTGTAGGATTCACTATGATTGCCTTCAATCTCATTCCTTGCTTTTGAAAGTGCTCTATAAATCTGCCATTTGCTTGGATGCATACCATATTTAATCATCTCTGCTTCTACTCCTTTGGTGGACATGTTAGGGTGAATTCTCATGACTGGTACTAGTTTCTTTGCAATCCACTCAGTTGTAGTTTCTATGTTCTTCCTATCCATCACACATGTGTGTTCACCTTGGTAAGATTTAATCATAAAGGTGATGGAATCTGCTACTGGTGATGCATGAATTCTCCATTTGCATCCTTCAATACTACAAATAGCAGTTACTCTACTATTTTCATTCTTCACTCTCACAATAGGAAATCTTTTATGAATTACATAGTCCTTTAAAACTGCTATAAATGCATCAACATTAGTGAACAGCTGACCTTTCTTAAACTCTATGTCTCCTTTTGGATTGTACGTCCACATTTTTTATTTCAGAGCTTGCTGAATGAGGTCACATTCTTCCTCATTTTCAGAATCAGGAACAATATCACCCTCCTAATTGTCATCAAAATCAGAAAAAAAACATGTCAGCATTCTCACTACCTGCCAGAGACATACTATCAACATCTATGCCCTCCTCATTGTCACTATCCACGTTGTGCAACCAGCTTGAATCAGAGCTGGAATCATTATATTCACCTTCAAAATCATCAACCTCAACAACATATACATTGTCTTTTCCTATTTTTCCTAAGTTCAGATAGGTATTATGACCATTGTCAACCTCAAAATTAGTTTGATCATTAGGAATAACATCCATATCCAGCATATGCACATTAATCACCATTACAGACTTATGCATTTTGAACATTTCACTAACACTATCATCATCTATAATATCAAACATGCGACCTGTCTTAGGAATTAGGCACCTCATGTGTATTAACTTATTCAGATGCCCAGGGACTTGACTGAATACCTTCTCGGCAATATCAAACAGCAAGTTAATGTAACAGTAACCAATTGGATCGACATTTGGAATTCTCACTTGTTTCCCCTCATAGTGGACAGATATGTCATAACCAGGAAGAAGAGCCATCCTAAGTTTCAAAAGTGACAGTTATTGAGCAAAGAGAAAATCACAACACCTTACAATTGTACTAAAATGTTCAATATTTGTATCATAGACCAGTCATGAACTCAGACAATGACCAATATACCCTGTTTATACAAGAGCTGTGAAGATTAAAACAAATCATGATACATCATCCATTGATAACCATGTCTTAAACAACTGGAATAGCAGAGCAACAAGTCTTAAACAACTGGAATAGTAGAGCAGCAAGTCTTAAACAACTAAAATAACATTACATTCATATGCCATTGATCATTACCGACATATTCAAATCATGATGCAAGAGCTAACATACATTCACTGCAGTCAGGTTTTGCCTTATTATCATACAAGAGCTAACATGCAAATTCTGTGCCTTCAAGTGACAACATCAGAAATAATTTACCTGTACAGCTGTGATTCTTGCAAATTAACTGCAGTAGATGCTCAGATTTTGGTTCCTTTCTACTGCCTATTGTGCTTCCTCTCTTGCGAATATAAAACCTCTCATAAACTAAACAAAAACTCCAGCTTCTTCTCTTATATTTCCTTTCCTCAATGATCACAATTTTATGAGTCACAACACTCTCTTATGGAGCAAGTAGACAGCTTGTCACCTCAAGAGCTGTCAAAACACGAATTGGCGCCAATTCATGGCGCCATCTTCCTCCTCCATTGGCGCCTTATGGTTGCCTCTACAAATAATGCTTAAACATGCTTCAAGTCTGATCAAACAAGGACGGACTCTTAAGTACTTTAGTTAGTTAGTTAATTAGTTTAATTAGTTTAACACGCAAATAGTTTAATTAGTTTAATAAAGGATTTGTTTGTTTTGATAAAAATAATTAAACCTTTCATTTGGTAACATGAAAATAATTGGGGTAGCCAAATAAATTCACACACTTTTACCTTAACAATAGGCCCCAACTTTTTTTAGGGGAGGTCAGTGCTATTTCAAATATTATAAGGGAGGTAAGTGCTAGTGTCAGAAATCTCAGGGGAGATTTTTGCAATTATCCCTAAAAAAAAGGGAAAAAACTTTGGGATAATTTCAGAAACCTCCCTTGAGCTTTCTAACAATTTCACTCGACTTCCCTCAGGTTTAAAAAAGTACACTTATCTCCCTTGGTATAGTAAAATATCTATAATGCTCTCCACTTGGTAGAAATTTTAAATTTAAAGTAGTAAATTTACAAAACCCAAAAAAAAATCTATTTTATTTTTGTATCTTGTCTATTTTCATTCCTTTCTTTTTTAGTTAATATATCCTTTTTTTTATTATCTTCGATTTTGTGGATATTAGCAAATTAAAATTATAAAATCAATAGACGAAGCAGCTTATGTGTTAAATTAGAAAGAAATGAAGAGACTTGTAGTGATAGAGAAATAAATAATGAAATTGATGATTGAAATAGGAAGAAGAACTAAAGATGTTGAATTTGTCATATTTTGTTTGTTGTTAAGAAATTTTTTTTATAAAATGTCAATAATTACATAAGAATTTCTTTCATTGGATTCGAAATTTTTTATTATGATTTTATTGTGAAAGTAGAATTTATTCTCTATTTTTAAGATATTAATATTTTTAAGACCATAAAAGGGTTATAATAACCGTTCTAAGTCAGATTAATTTGTATTGAAAAGGTATTTGAGTATTGGTATTTAATTTTGGGGTATAAAATTGGTTGTCAATGGGGTTTGTGTGTGTGTGTATTTTTTTTTTTTTTTTTTACGTAGCAAGTATTGATATTGTACATGTAGGTTGAGATCCTTTGGACGACTATTTGGTTTTAAAACTTATGCTTAGATGGTTGTTAGGGATTAAATTTGTTGATTTGTGCAAAGTGTGGAAGAAAATAATTGAGTATACTATATTTTTCTTTGTTTAAAGGGCAATTTAGAAATTTTGTGAGAAAATCTATATTGTTGGACCTATATTGTTATTAAACAGTAAAAATAGGGGAGGTATATGTAATTTTTAAAACTTGGGGAGAGCTCTCGATAATTGTTAAAAACCTCGGGCGAGGTTTGTGAAATTATCCCAAAAATTTGAAAAACACTAATGGTAATTGTGAGGGAAGGTTTTCTTGCATCTTTCTCACAAAAAAAAAAAAAAAAAAAGTCGTTTCTTGGGCTGCTGCTGCAGGTGGTTTGTTACTTAGTAGTTTGCTTTAGGGATAATTGCAGAAACCTCCCTTGAGGTTTCTGACACTTGCACTGACCTCCCTTAAATTTACTAATTCTTTACAAATTCAGTCCAAACGATTAAAATTTTATTTTAGGGAGTGAAATTAGAATTTTGTACCAGATTTGTCATTTGTGCTACATGTCTAATGAATGACAAAGTACTACAAATCAATTAACAATTAATAAAGTTTAAGGGGTATAGTTTATGGGCACATACGCATTACCCATTTAAAATACTTGCTCTTTATGGATATTTTATTTTCAAACATTTAATTTACGATATATATCAATGTTTGTAAGTAAAATTCAAAAAGTGTTACAGTAATATTCTTACAAAAAGGAAATCAGTAGGTTATCTATTTAATATAAATTAAATATTTTTTTTAAAAAAAGAAATGACCCATAAAGTATTAATTTTTTATGACTTTCACCCATTAGATAAGTAAAGTATTGTTTCTTTATGGGTATTTTATTCTGAATCATTAATTTATGTTAAATACATAAATGTTTGTAACTAAAATTGAAAAAGTGTTACATTAATATTTTTACGGTAGGAAAACTGGTAGGTTTTGTGTTTAACAAAAATTAATTATTTGATAATACAAAGATTTGTATTTAGTCTCAAATATTTAATTTTTGTTAAATACAAAATCTACCAGTTTCCCTTTCGTAAAAATATTAATATAACACTTTTTCAATTTTAGTTACAAATATTTATGTATTTAACATAAATTAAATGATTCAAAATAAAATGCCCATAAAGAGCCTATACTTTACTCATCTAATGGATGAAAACCATAAAGAATTAATACTTTATGGGCTATTTCTTTTTTTTTAATATTTAATTTATATTAAATAGATAACCTACCGATTTCTTTTTTGTAAGAATATTACTGTAACACTTTTTGAATTTTACTTACAAACATTGATATGTTTATCATAAATTAAAAGTTTGAAAGTAAAATATCCATAAAGAACCGGTATTTTAAATGGGTAATGCGTATTTGCCTATAAACTACACCCATTAAAGTTTATTAATTTTTAATTGATTTGTAATACTTTATCATTCATTGAACATGTAGCACAAAGGGCAAATCTGGTACAAAATTTTAATTTCACTCTCCAAAATAATATTTTAATCGTTTGGACTAAATTTGCAAAGGATTAGTAAGTTCAAAGGAGGTCAGTGCAATTTTTCAAACCACAGGGGAGGTCAATGCAAGTGTCAGAAATCTCAGGGGAGGTTTCTGCAATTATCCCATTGCTTTATGGTCTTCGACTTCAAGTAGACATTCACCAAAAGAAAAATGAATTGAAAATGTAGATGAAACGTCCACGAAAATTCCTAAGGTCAGCATTCCAAAACTAACACATCAGTCAACGCCTTCAACCTGAGAATCCAAGATTATGCCAACACTAAAGTACTATGCATAAGATCAGAGCAATGATGAATCAATAATTTGTACCAATTAACATTCCCACTTCTCGTATCTGTCCACTACATTTATGTACCTTCCCTTTTCCAAATAAGAGAATCCATCAGTGCCTGTGGGATGCTTATGATCGTTTCTGGATTGGATCAACAATGTATATACAGTTGTACTAGCATGTATATGATATTGGTTTAATACTAGTGGAGTAGATGATGATTATAGATGGCTAGAATTTACGACAACTGGGAAAGACTTGTAGATGCCACAATCCGCAGAGAGCAGTTGAGACTCAGCGCTCTAAGGACCCCAAGTGACCTTTCCTTAGCAGCATCTGTGTCATCTTCCCCCTCGTCCTCCTTTAGATTCAGTGATTTCAATTTTCCCATCATTTCGGTCGGGGATTCATTTAGTTATGAACAAATTCTTCGAGCCACTGGGAACTTGAACGAGTCCAATCTCATCAAGCGTGGACACTCGGGGGATCTCTTTTACGGTGTTTTTGAAGATGGGATTCAGGTGGTGGTTAAGAAGATTGAGATTTCAAGCTCAGTCAAGAGGGAGCTGGCGTTTATATCAGAAGTGGAAGTTCTTGGCAAGGTTTCACATTCTAGATTGGTCCCTTTCCTGGGGCACTGTTTTGAGAACATGAAAGAGGGGTTCCTTGTTTACAAGTACATGCCATTTAAGGATCTGTTTTCCTTGTACTATAAAAAAACTGCTCCAGAACATCACGAAGATTTAACGTCGTTGGATTGGGTAAAGAGGTTGAAGATTGCAATTGGAGCTGCCGAAGGTCTGTGCTACCTACACAATCATTGTCATCCGCCCCTTGTTCACAGGTAGCCCCTATTCATTAGAACTAGCATTAGCTAGCAAATGATGCCTGCATTGTTACTAGTTTCTTTAACTTATTCTTATTTTTGCCATATTGAGATTTTTGTTTACTTAGCAATTATGGTTTTTATTATCATCTGTCTTTGTTAAAGAGATATTCAAGCTAGCAGTATACTTCTTGATGATAACTTTGAGGTCCGGTTAGGAAGCCTTACTCAAGTATGTTCTGAAGAAAAAGACAGAACCAGTCCGAACACGATTGCCAGGTTCCTACGGTTGTCAAAGTAAGCATTTACATTCAACTCCTCATAATCCATATCCGTAAATCTTTTCTCGACTAGAGAGCTTAAGTTGGTAGTTGCTCATTTCTGTAAGACAGAAGCATATTCATCAATGTCTGTACATGATCTGACTAAATTTCTGGACTGTGATTCCTAGCATCTGCTTTTGTTTCACCAAAATTGATTATTTGAACTCTTTCAGTGTGATTGAAAATCAACCAAGGCTTGAGGTTTTAGGTGCTCTTGAAATTAACATATGAAACTGAGACTAGATTCTCTTGTCAAAAGTGGCTTTTAAGGCTATCATCCACAACAATGAAGCTATTCGCACTTTTTCTGTCCAGTTTCTGCCTTTTTCTGATCGAGTTTGCAACTTGCTGTCTTTTTTATGCACAGGGGATCTGAACAAGGCACTTCTGGTATGTGAACTTAATCTACGTTAATTCTCCCTGGATGCTGTTTTATGCTCTTGATGTGTTGTCCTCCTTGAAGTAGTGGATGCTGCTGCTTTCAGAGAGATCCTCGAAGTCATTAGTGATTAATTTACTGAGAGACATACACACATTTGCATTATAGCCACATTAAGCACTAGTCAGTGAAGTATATAGGGTAGCGAAAACCATATTTTGCCAAACCTTCACATTTTTACCCACCAATGCCTTAGCCAGCATCATGCTTCACAAATTAGGTGTCTTGACAATTTGATAGTACTACCAATCAGCAGGACAGTTTCATTAGGATAATTGCAAATAATAGAGCGAGTTCACTTGATAATCTACTGTTCTGGGCTACTGAAAGCTCGAAATTTTGGCCATCTAGTCATATACTTCCTTTCTTTTCAATGTTGTATGATAGTCAATAGAGCAACTACATTGATCTCGTTTTGTGATATCATCCTTAGTGCTCCCAAATTTTCTGTTTTATCACTAATTATTACTTTTGGAGTTCTTTTCAGACATACAACTGAGTCCAAATATTTACACTAACTTTCTTCCTTAAAATGTTCCTGGAAGGGCTTGGTGCATCTGATGGAACTCGTGCCTATGACGTTTATTGCTTTGGAAAGCTTCTGCTTGAACTAGTTACTGGCAAACTGGTTAAGGATACTTCCAATAACTCCAGTATGGAGGATTTGATTGCAAATACTCTGCCTTACATCATTCCATCCAATCAGAAACTTGTTTTAGACATTTTGGACTCGTCCTTAATCGTAGATAAGAATGTTTCAACGCAAGTTTGGGCAGTTGCTTTTGTTGCCAAGGCCTGCCTCAGTCCAAAGCCTTCTAAGCGACCTCAAATGCCACAGGTTCTGATAGCTTTAAAACATGCTAAAGGACCAAGTTTCACCATTTCTGAAAATCCAGGTCAGACAATGACAAAAACACTTGATGGATCTGAAATAACAGGTGGGTTTATACTGAGTTAGATTTGGAGATATTGTTTCTATGTATGAAAGTTTCTCACTTCCTCTGCTAACTGCTAACGTCATTAGTTACTTCATAAACGTCATTATAAGGCTGTTTTCTTTAATTTTGATGGAGAGAAATTTAATTATGCTCTTCAACATCGACCAAATTCATAGTTCACTCAAGTTTTAATCCAGCGGTAGATCAATTTATGCAATATAAACTTGTACTGACAAGTAACAAGTTTGTCAGTACAAGTTTGAAGCTGATGTTTTAATTGGTGAACTGTTGAACGATTGAAATTGGAGAATCATCAGACCACAAGGAACATGAGAAGGTTCAGTTATTCTGATATTTTAACACTTCCTTTTTCAACTTCTGTTTCAAGATTCTTCTTTAGCTGATAATTTGAAGCTACCTTCTTGCTGTTTACTTTTAATAAGAAGGTAACTGGTGGAAAAAACCCACCTGTTCCTTTTCAACATCTGTTTCTTGCTATTTTAGCCTATTGTGGAATATAAATAGCTGGAACTAAAATCTCTCTCTCTCATTTTCAGGTACTACTCTATTGTAACATATTTGTGTAACTTTAGTTTACTGAGTATTAGTTTGAGGTGACATGTTATCAACTTAAGTTGCATCCACCAATGCAAAATTTCATGCAGCAGAACATCACCTGAGAACAACAGATTTGTGGAAGCTGAGAAGTCTTATCAAAGGGGGGAGATTTTGGCCCACCCAAATTTAAAGATTTTCACTTATTCAGAACTCATGGTTGCTACTAGAGATTTTGCAGAGGATACGGTACTGGGAAGAGGTGAACTTGGGAGAGTATACCAAGGGTGGCTTGATAACAAGTCAAACAGTGACACCCCATCAGTAATTGCTGTTAAGAAACTGGATTCTGAAGGAACGCTAGGATTTGGAATATGGAAGGTAATTCAGATTGGACCTGTGATTTAATAGGATGGGGGATCTTTTTTTGTATCCTTTTTCGTTTTCGCATTTCTCATCAAACAAATAGGGGAATTTTCATCACTTCAAATAGTACTGATTGATGGGAGAGAGACATATTTTGATTAGTACAAATATTGCCATATTCAGGATTCCAAGAGAGACTCGATGTGGTTTTCAACCCTATCCATTACATGGAATAGAGCACCATATGTTTCAAGGGGGCACATACTCAAATGGAATTCCTTTCAATTCGTTTCTGACAGGCTTTTTCTCATTCTGAAAAAGCTGATGCATACATTTTTCTGTCTCTAAAGCTTGGGACCATATCTCCTGAAATAATTTACTATTGGCCCTTTTGAGGCATAAACTTGAGCAACATTTTAGTAGGTACATTACGATAAGTCCTCCCAGTTGTGATCATAGAAGAAATTTAGTGGCCTCAAGGTCGATACTATTTTAGCTGCATCAAATCTTAGTTTCACGTTATTATCTTGCAGTCTGTCTTGAACACGCTTGGAAGGCTATCTCATCCTAATGTCACGAAACTCCTTGGATACTGCAGCAAGAATAACAAGCTGCTACTTGTATATGAGTTTATGCAAAAGGGCAGCTTGGAGAATCACCTCTTCAGAAGTAAGAAGATTCTAGTTATGCTTTTTACATATTTGATAGCATCTGTAGTGGGAAATGATCTGCAGTTCAAATAATTCACTTCGGTTCTTTGATTTCTTCAGGGGACTCTGCAGTTCAGCCACTTCCATGGAACATAAGATTTGAGATTTTAATCGGAGCAGCACGAGGTCTGGCTTTCTTGCATGCATCAGAGCTATATGGTTTCTTTACCCAAAAAGGAAGGAGGCAAGGTTTCTACCAATTCTTTGAGCCCTCAAACATATTGCTTGATAGTGTAAGTCAGATATTTATCTTTCAGAAGTACACGTTTATAGCCTACGGAATTTTTGCTTTTTTGTTTTCTCTAAAGCTTTGAGGTTTTCTGATTCTGCTCAACACTCAAAGATCACTACACTTTTTCAATCAAACTACACAGCTCTAACATATTATGGATGAAAACCGTAAAAGTCAAGGACATGATACTACTGACAGAAACATCATTTCCTTCCTGAACATTTTGTTTGCAGTCCTACAATGCCAAGATATCTGGTTTTACTGTGGCAAATGTGTATCCTCCTGAAGTCGTTGATGGAAAACATCCCTTTTTTTATGTCACAGGACGTTATGTTTATTGCGCTCCTGAATGTAGTCCGCTATCAGGTAGTCAATCCCAATCAAATCTCTTCAGCTTCTATACATATTTGAGGTTCTAATTAAGCCGGTGCAAATTAAGTTTGTGGAAGACATTAACAGAAAGATAAGGTCATAATTCTTTTACTTGTACTCTTCTTTTATAGGAGACTATTTGTTGTCTGTGAAGAACGATGTATATGGTTTTGGTGTCGTATTGATCGAGATGCTAACAGGGTTATCTGCAAAAAGCAATTATGGTCTAGTTCATTCGGCCAAATCTGAGTTCACCGCCAAAGGAAACTTAGAGAACCTAATGGATCCCCTCTTAGAAGGGAAATATCCTTCAAAAGCTGCTCTACAAATGGCTTATCTTGCTATAAGATGCCTTCAGGATTCACCTGAAGCTAGACCATCAATGAAGAAAGTTGTGGAGGCTCTAGAACACATTTAATCTATTCAGGAGAACCATAGCTAAAATATGTGCACCCCCAATATCTAATCGATGTCCGCGACAGCCTTTGGATCAGCAATGCTCTTCTTCAACAAAAGGAATGAAGGGCTTCCATGATCCATGAGATCCACTTCCAGAATGTTAATAATTCATATGCACTTCCTCTTCAAAAAGACAGATCCCTTCACAAATTTGTCCTGATCTATATGTTTCTTTTACAATCCCAAATTGCAATGGGATGTTGCGGTGCAATGGCTTGGACTGTTATTTTACAAGTTCAAATCATAGGCTAGAATGCTTTTGGCTGATCTCTTTCCAGGTAGTATTTGGTAAACCTTGGCAGGATGGCAGTTTTGACTTCTGATAGAGTGCCTGTAGATAGCAAACCTTATTATGACATTGAGAATATCTCGTGTCTGTACATACCTATACTCCATATAAAATTGTCTTGTATGATTTACGTTTTTCCATTTCTTCCTATTAGGGGTAAACAACGCTACAAATTCGGTCAATTCAGTGTGATGAACTCGGTAAATTCGGTTATTTCACTTGTAAATCTTTAAACCTATTTTAATTCCGAATTGGAGATAACCAAATTCATTTCACTTTCGATTTGAATTCAGAATTGGCAATGAAAATGGAATTTAACCGTTTTCAGTGAAAAAAAAAAGAGGCTACAATAACTCCATTCAAATGCAAACTCCATATACGTTGTCTTAGTTGTCTATGCTTAAAGGCTTAAACAAGATTAGTGATTAGTGAATATAAAGACTAAAGTTACACAATCAAATATTCAATAATTCAAAAATGAACGATAAACCAATGCCTAATTACTAATTATGTTTAATATTTAGTACTATACTTATAATTATTAAGTAGTTGTGTATTAAAGGATAAGTATTATAGTTAGTGTACTATTATAGTTATATTACAAATACTAAAGTAGTATATTATACATAATTATATATTATTATAGGTATATGATGATACTATGCGCTATCTACAACTAATAGCCTTTACGTATATAATATATTTATAGTATATAACGTTTACCTATATAATGCATAATTTGATAAAACTAAATTAGTAAAGAAATGTGGTAAAACAATTCCTATCCCGTTTTATCGATTTTGAATTCAAAATTAGTTATTATAAAATTGAAAATCTCATTATCTATTTCTCATCATATTCGAATTCGATGAATTTCTTTTGCACCAATTTCATACCAAATCCCAAATAACCGATTTCAATTTATCAAATTCATTTTGAATTAGATTGGCAATTCGTTGCAAACCGCTTATGCTGAACCCTAATTCCTACAGTCTATCTTGCCTTGAGTTGCATGTAAAATTATTGGAATCATTAGGCTAGAAGACTAGCATGTACAAGTGAAGAATTATGTTTCTAACTTAAATCAACATATCTGATGCACTCCTAGGAGGAAACAGGTTGACATTTCTTCAAGTTGAGGAGTAAATATATATATATATATATATATATATATATATATATATATATATATATATAGTGCCCTGTAATTTCTAAGCTTTTGCAAATTTCATTTGGTACATTATATTCGTATAAATGGAAATTGCTGAGATTATCTCTGCATGAGATACAAATGATTCAAGCATAAACCATTCCATAATTTAATATATGCCTTTAGTATGGCTTGACTTTCTCTTCAAATTTCACACAAGTAAGAGCAATAGAAATTTTTCTGTTTTATCTGTGTGCATGCGATGCAATTTCTACTATTAATACATATTTAATGAAGTTATGATATTTTATCAAAAAAAAAAAAAAAAAGATGTTCTGCTCCCTAATTTGAACTTATCAGGCTTGGATGTATTGTACAACTTCAGTCGGCAACCAAACAGAAAAGTCAAGGCCAAGTTTGTGTCGTCATTGTTTTGAACTAACCCAAACAACGTTGTCACCGGAAACATTAGCATTGGGTCAATGGCCAGCCAGTAAAGTATAATCTGGTCGTTCCGTCATTTCGTAGATTTTAGGTAACTTACATACGCCTTTTTTTCTTGGGGGGGGGGGGGGGGGGGGGGTGCCTCCCATCTTTCCCTCTAAATTTGACAGTAAAAAAATTCTAAAAGTCCTCTTCTCTTCTGACCACTAAACCAATCCTAATGATTGATTTTCATATGAGGTATTGATAGTCATATGTGAATAATTAAAGAAATTGACTCTAAAATCCAACTCAATTGATAGGACATTAGTCACGTGATTGTTGGATCTTTCCCTCGCTTCTTAAGTCATTCCATTTCAGCTTCTCCTTGAACCAAAAGAAAGAATTTGTAGATCATTTAGGATAATAAATCTTATATACACGTTAATAGTGTATGCATTATCAGTTTTGGATAAATGGCAGTCATACATAATTTGAATTTGAAATTTAACTTTTGCACATATGTTATGAATCCAATAGTAATAATATATACACTGTCATAACACATGTTGTTAATGCTTTGGTCAGTGTATATATTATTACTATTGGATTCATAACATATGTGCAAAAGTTAAATTTCAAATTCAAATTATGTATGACTGCCATCTATCCAAAACTGATCATGCATACACTGTTAGTGTAGGAAAGATTAATCATAAATCTTATCTGCCAATAGTAGATATTATTGGTGGTTTGACAGCATAAGTTGTTAATGCTTCATATATATATAAAGGTTTGGAGAAGATCCATCCGCGGATCATTCAATAGAACTCATCTTTACAACAAATTGCAGACTGGTGCTGATATGATTAGGAGTAGGCAAAAGCTTAGGTGTTGTTTGGATTGCAATCTTTCGTAGAAGAAATTTTTCGTCTTTTGTAAATATTTTTTTACACATTTTTTAAATTATTTTATTTTACTTCACATACATCACATCCTAAAAAGTATTACAGAATTTTGTCTAAAAACTCTCCAGAAAATGCAATCTAAACAATTCATTAATTTTTCACATTGTTAACTGATTTCTATTTTTGATGGTATCTTAAAACTAGTTCAACCTTTTACTTTTTCTTTGATTTCATAAATAGCCCTTTGCTTGTGTGCAAGTATTTCGATACTATTTGATTTATTCGTTTCTTAAAATTATTTGAATTTGGTGTTAATTATTTGCCTTGACTATTGTCATATTCGATTATTAAAATTCAAGCAATGTATCATCCTTTTTCAATGGACACTTTCTGCCACTATCCTACATCTTATTGTGTTTGTCCTAGGTCACTTGAACTTGTCTACAACAATATGAGTCCTCTTAATTGGGGGGCATGGTATGTTCCAAATCAGCCGTTGTTCAATATATATATATATATATATTTATATATATATATATATATATATATATATATATATATATATGAGTCCTAGGACACTTGAACTGCCATTATATACATATTTTTTGCAAAAACAGAAATCCCTTATGGTTTGAGAAATCACAATTTACCAATAAATTGTCAATTGAACATCTTACACCTCAGGAGAGAGGGTTGGATTAGATGGTAAAATGGAAAGAAATATAAGTAGGAGATTTTGAATTCAAAACTTCCCGCTTGACTCAAAAAAAAAAGAAGAAGAAGAAGAAGAGCATGTTACATACCAAGATGATTAATTGTCCATCCACCATAAAGGGTAAATTGGACATACAATAATACTTTGAAAATGTTAAAATTGAAAAGAAATAAAGGATATATTTCTTTTTGTGTTTGGGGGGGGGGGGGGGGTTGGGTAGGGTTGGGATGGGACAATTGGTTTCTATTTTGCTTGCCTATTATGTCTCTATCCATGTCGGCTACAATTCCAATTTTCAACTTAAAAAAAATGTTGGATGGTCTTTTCCTCTTTTAATCTTTTGTTTACTTTGCCAAGATTTCCTGTACTTGATAGGTGTTTCTGCCACTGTATGTAAACAGGTTCTGCGAATAATTGTTACTTATCTAATCAAAGTCGTAATTTGATAATGATTTGTCAGATTTGGCATTCAGCTCACAATTTCTTTCGGTTTTCGGTTTTGCACGTTGCATGTATTCCACATTACTTGCTCCAGACAACTATCAGTTCTTCATCATTCCTTTACATTCTACAGAGCTGTAGTATGTCGTAATTCCCTTCTTTTGGTAGAAGATTGGCATCTGCAAGTGTTTGAGGTTCAGATGAAAAACATTACAATATGTTTGATCAATTTTCTTTTAGGAATAAAAAAAGGATCCTTACTGAATGCACGCACTTTCAAAAAAGCAACACAAACCCTTAACACAATGTGTTGGCTCTGATACCATTTTTGTTAGAATTTAGAGCATAAATTAAAAGAAATAACACTCGTAGTTAGTGATGCAAACAAATTGCTTGTTATTTTTCATTCATCATCTCCCTTTTTATAGTGGTATAACAACAAACTAAATACAGCTATCTGTTAAACAATCTTAACAAAATACTAGAAAATCGAAGATAGTGAAACTAGTCAAAAGGCTATAAATGTGGAACGATTCTAACAATTAGCTAACAATCTAACTTATTTAACTGAATTATCTTATTCTAAAGCTAGAAAGTTGCAGCGGAAGTTACATCATTCCAACAAAAATGACATAGAAAATAACTTTTTATAGTAAAAGTTAACCACTAAAAACATTAACAATTTTAGACCTTTTTTTTTCCCTTCTTTTTACCTTTCCACTCCTTTTCACACCCTTCCTACTCCTAAATATTAGATTGGGGATTTGAACCTGAATCTAGCAGTGAAAAGAAGTCTAAGAGCCCTTACACATCAATTATGTTGAATTAGTTCCATAATGGCACATAGTAGGGCCGTAAACAAATTGAACTTTTTACGGTTTGAGTTTGATTCGAAATTTTGGACTTGAAGTCCAATTCGAATTCGAATCCTATACGAGTTCAAAATCTAAGCTCTAGCTCGATTCTATTTAAGATTAGATGAGTTCAAACTCGATTCAAGAGCTCAAAAATTTATTTAATTCTTCAATTTTTAATATTAAATCATCACTAATGCACATATAGTATCGATATAATAAGATAATAAATATATAAATTTATATAAAATATTAACAAATGTTCTAAATAAAGAATATTAAAAATTATTCGAATCGAATCGAATCGAACTCAACGAGCTGAATATCTACAAGTTCGATCTCAATTTGATGCTACAAATGAATCCTAATTCTTATTCAAATTCGAGTTTGAGTTCATTAAAAATAAAACTCGAATCGAACCTTGACGACTCGAGGTCGAACTCTTCGTTTATAACCCTAGCACACAGTATGCTGTCTCAATCTCCCTTTCTTATTATTGATTGTTTTAAAGTGCCCAAGGATCCCTGATTTAGTACCAACTTCCCAGATATATATGCACAAGCATACATTTATGCAACCGTTAGACATACCCTTTCCTTATTAGTGCTACATAGTGTAGGGAAAGAGAAAAACAAATTTAAAAAACGCT